GGAGGTCCGGCGGCTCCGCGCACAGGGTGGACTGCGGCTCGATGAAGCGGATGCGGCTGCCGGTGGCGTTGGCCCAGCGGATGACGCAGTCGCAGCGGATGGGGTTGCCGTGAAGACCCACCTCCTGCAGGTTGGGCAGCGACTCCACCGTCTGCCGGTGCAAGGCACTGAGCGCGTTGTTGTTGAGCATGAGGGTCTCCATCTGGGGCAGGCGGTGGAAGGCGCGGGGGTGGATGAAGGACAGCCGCGGGTTGTTGGTGATGTCCAGCTTGGTCAGCTCGGGGAGGTTGACCAGGGCGAACTTGTCGATGGAAACCAGCTCCTCCATGTTGTTCAGCCCCAGCTCCTTGAGGTGCAGCATGTTGGCGAAGTCCCCGGGCCCCACCCGCTGCAGCGGGTTCTTGTTCAGGTCCAGGAACTTGAGGCCAGGCACCTGCTCCAGCGCCCGCCGGGGCACCCGGACCAGCTGGTTGTCATAGAAGGAGAGGCTCTCCAGGCTCCGCAGCCCCTCCAGGGCGTAGCTGGAGATCTCCCGCAGGCTCATGCCGGCCAGCACCAGGCTGCGCAGGTTGGCCAGGGGCCGGAAGTTCATGTCCAGGATGGCGTCCACCTTGTTGCCGCCGATCATGAGGATCTCCAGGCTGGGCAGCATCTCGAACCAGCGGCTGTCCACGGCCCGCAGCAGGTTGGAGTTGAGGTGCAGCCGCAGCAGGTTGCCGAGGCCGGCGAAGGCCCGGGGGGCGATGCGGCGCAGCTGGTTGTGGTTGAGATAGAGCTCCTGCAGGCTGGCCAGCCCCGCAAAGCTGTGGTCCTCCAGGCAGGTCAGCTGGTTCTCCTCCAGGTGCAGGCTCAGCAGCTGGGGCAGGGCCTGGAAGTCACAGTCCCGGGCATTGGAAAAGCTGTTCTGGGACAGGTCCAGCTCCGTGAGGTTGGCCAGGTAGCCGAGCTCACTCCGGTCCACGCGGACGATGCCGTTGCTCTGCAGTAGCAGGGTCTGCGTGCCCGCGGGCAGCGCCGGGGGCACGGCCGTCAGGAACAGGTCATTGCAGTCCACGGTGGTGGCCTCGCGGTAGGACGAGCGGGGTGTATACCAGGGCCGGATCTGGCAGGCACACTGAGGGGGGCAGGGCACACGCCAGGGGACCACGGGCACAGCGGCAGAGGCACCAGCCACCCATGCTAGCAAGAGGGGGGCCACGAGGAGCCTCATGGTGGAGCCGCAGGGGAGGGGACCATCCACGGGAAACGTCTCAAGTCCCGCCCTTAGCGGTTGGCAGGCTGAGGGTCAGCAGCCTGCCAGGGCCTGGGGAGCCCCACTTCCAGGGCGGTCATGGGGGACAGCGGGGCATCACTCCTCGCCCTCCTGGGTGTGGCTCTCCATCCTTGTCCGCTGGGCCTGTTCACTCATCGCCGTGCCCAGCAGGCAGCCCTGGAGAAGAGGAGGCAGCGTTAAGCAGGCGGAGAGCAGCAGGATCCATCCCTCCTCCCGCTCCCTTGTCTGACTCAGAGGCGCACAGAGCTGAACGGCTGGGTCTCCTGGGTCCTGTCCCGCATCTTAGGCTTTAGTGTCCTTTTCTAGGACCTGAGGCGGGAAGTGGGTGACTGGGAGGCCTCAGGGCAGGAGGAAGAGATTGGGCCTTAGAAGCTTCCAGAAGACTCGGGAAAGGGGTGTGTGTGTGTGTGTGTGTGTGTGGAGGAGAGGGGACGGCTGCGATCACTGTCATCCTCAGAGTCCTCTGAGCCCAGAGAGATGTGGAGTGGATCCTCCAAGCTTTCTCCTCTCTCTCCATCCGCCTCCCCGGCTCCCTCGGTAAATGGAAAATAAAGTGAGAGTTTGCAGTCGACCCTCTGAGTGCTCTGGGCAGAGGATGGTGCGGCTCTGCCTTTCAGGGTGGGCTCCCAGTGGTCCCTGATCCTACCGCAGACTGTCTAGGGAAGGGAGCGGTCCTGCCTGGGGTCTGCTTACTCCTCCCGGGCAGGGTGCAGCGTGGGCTTTTGCCAACGTCCTTACCTGGAGGCAGGGGTTTCCCTTCCCAACAGCCTGGCTGAGCTGCCAGGTGCTGGGATTAAGAAGTCTGAATCTGAGCTCCTTAGCACTGCAGGTAAGACCTTCTGTGACCCGCCCCAGCCACTTCTCCTGGCTCCTCTTGCTGCCATCCCACTTACCCTCCGTGCACAACCTACAGGTTGAAGTTACCCTGACATGTCCCCCTTCTCGCATCTTCTTTCTATTGTCTCCCAGGCAACCTCTACTTGTTCCTCAAGATTCCCCTTAAGGCCAGTCTCCTCCTCCAACCCCCCCCCCCCGCACCCCCCGTCCACACACCTCCTGCCCCTGGCGGGCTTTATGCTCTTACAGGACCCCATGCTTCCTCCCATCACAGCCCTGACCACAGCACGTGGAAATGTCTCCCCATCTAGGGGAGTCCACGTCATTAGTCTTGCTTGTCACTGTGCTTGTAGCACAGGGCTGGTGCCCAGTGTGTATTTCCTGTATGAATCAACCTTGGGGGCTCAGGGGCCCTTCCCCCAGGAGGTCAGGCCCCAGCCCCACCACAAACTAGAATCCAAGCCCTTGCTGTTTCCTCCCTCCCAACCTAGGAGACCAGTCCCCGTTCTCAGCCCCCACAGCCAGGCGGCATCACCCTGAAGAAAGTCCAGCCTTGGCCTAGAACTGAGGTGGGGAGACAGGGGCCTTCGTGGGCCTGGCTGACTCCTCCGGGGAGGTCTGATTTGGGGAGTCTTCCACCTGCAGGCAGTAGGGAGACGCACATGCTCACCGAATGCTGCCGTTTGCCAGGACTCTTCAAAGACTCCGAATGTCTCTCTCTGATTTAACCTTCACAATTAGTCTACAGGGCAAGCACTAATACCTCCAGTTTGCAGATGAAGACACCGAAGTTGGAAGAGGTTAAAGAATTTGGCTGGCAAGGGGCAGGAGATAGGAATCTCCCCATGCCCAGAGCTTGTGCCAGTTGCACCACGCGTCTTGGTTCCCAGGTCTGGCCAGAGCCTACCCTGGGCACCCCGGGGTGCACTGGTGGCTGCAGCAGGAGGGTGGGTGCCCATTCTTGTCTCCTTCCTCACTAGGGAGCTTTGGGAAGCGGGGAGCTGTGTCTCCTACCACCTTTCAGACGGGTGCCGCTCAGCTGGCCAGAGGAGCTCTTTGCCCACTTCATCCAGCGTCCGGGACCCTGGGCTGGCAGGACAGCCGTGGGAGGCCTGGCGCCCCCCCTGAGCAGGAGAGCCGCACGCCTGTCTACATCAGACGCCCTCCCTCCCACCTCCTTTCGCAGCTACCTCGGTGCATTTTGTCATGGTTGTTTTTTCCAACCATGACTTATGTGGGCACTGACCCATAAAACTCAGGGCAAACAAACACCTGTGCACACATGCACGTGCACCTGCATACATGTGCCGGGGGAGACTGCGGGGGGCCCGGCCACCCGAGCCATGCCTGGTGGCCGGGAACAGGGGAGGGGGTTCGGCGGCACACTCCGTGGGTGGAGAGGCAGCAGGGACAGCTGGGTTCCCGAAGGGCCTTGACATGGAACTGGGTCCAAGGCCAGAAGTCCCGCTTCCTGCCTAGACCTGGCCGGAGGAGCAGACCCCACCAGCGAGGAGATCTTGCTGTTCCGCACCCACCACCTCCTACCAGAGCCCCGTGGGAGCAGTTATGGACTTCTTGGAGCACCTGTTCCTTACGGATAAGTGAGGTTGTCATTAGGGCTAAGGGAACTGTGTTGCACAGGGAAAGAGTTCAATTAATGTTAGTTTCCTTCCAGCTCCGTTCATCCCCTGGGGTTGGCAGGCCCTCCAACCAGGGCTTTCAGGAGGAACAGAAGTTGGATCCCAGAGCTTGACAAGCCCCTATTAAGCTTGCCCACTGTGGGCTCAGTGTTGCCCCCAGGTGATGGGGTGGGGAGCTGTGAGCAGAAATAGACAATAGCATGCCGCACCTTCTAAGACTGCCTCTCTGGCAGCACCCAAAATGCAAAGTGCTTGGGAGAGCCCGAGACCATTCACAGGCAGAGAGAAGGCTGGAGTGGGTGAGTGGGGAGGGGTCTTCAGCGGGGCCCAGGCATCTCAGACCCTGCCTGAGTCCAGGGCATCTCTCCTCCTCCACCTTTGTTCTAACAATTTAGTGACAGCGAAACCATTAAAAACAATTAAAACCCTCGGAGAGGGGCCTTTCCCTGCACCCCAGGCTGGGATGGGTGATTGAGGCAATGCTCTGGCTCTAGCCAGGAGGCCAGATGACTCATGTTTTCACACCTCTGATCCTGAGACTTGGCAAAGGCCCGAAAAGCCCCCCACCCCCTCCCTGCTGAGCATGCAGCCCCGTCCAGGGTGGAGCTCAGGGCTGCCCACTCACCTGCCATCGCCATTCAAGGCTGTCTTGCACACGGCCCACTCATGCAGGCTGATGAGCAATTTCTGCCAGGAGCGCAGAGAAAGCTAATTGTCTTGTATCCACAATCTCCCGGGTGAGCGGGAGTTCAGACTATCACGTGTACATTTCCCACCTGGGCTCCAAACTCCTGGTGCAGGGGGCATGTCTTACGTGCTTTTTGTGTCTCCATCGTGCGGGGTGTAGGACTGTGCGGGAGAGGGTACGTGTGAGTGGATACAAATAGTGAAACGTGTCATCTTCCCACAACCCTGCGTGTAAGCAGAGAAGGGATTTGGTCTTCTTTTGCAGGGAAAGCAACTGAGGCTCTGAGAGGTTGGTGACTTGTCAGAGGTTGCACAGCTTCTACGAGTGGGGTCAGGATTCAAACCTGGGTCTTTGACTCCATAACCTGAGCCGCCAGCCCAGCCAACGCTCCCTGCCTGCGATCAATGCCTGTCTCATAGGAGCAGAGTGCAGGGCCGGCCCAGCATGCCAGCCCAGGTGCAATTCCCTTCAGAGATGGCCTGGGTCCGAGCTCCTTCTCCCTGGCTACCCTCAGACGCCCCTCCTAGGCTCCTGGCGAGAGTGACCTACTGGTGGGACCGCATAGGGAAGACACTGTTCCCAGGTGAATGTGGCTGGGCCTGGAGCCACAGGGCAAACAGAGCCAGCAGGCCTCACGCAGACCCAGCCTGCCTTCTGACTGGGGGCTGGGGGTGGTGCTCTTTGCCAGCACTGCTGCCCGCACGGCCTTCAGCTACAGGAGACAGAAGGCCCAGGACCTACAGTCAGGGAAGCAAGGTTGCCCACTCCAGGGGCCACGTTTTCTCTTGGAAGGGCTGGCTCTGCAGGCCCCACCTCCCCCAGGCAGCTGCTCTGGATTGAGCAGCGTGAGGACCTGATTATTAAACTAAGCTCTGCAGACGCTGTTGTGGAGTCAGAGCTGCCCTTTCCTCCTCTCCAGCCCCGCGCCGCCCCAGCACAGTGCCTGTGCTCCTGCCACATCTAAATTGCTGCTCCTGCAGCCTCTCACAGCCTCCCTCCCCGAAATTTTTTTTTCCGCGCCTCCACCCCACCCCTGGGAGCTGGGGTTCTGGAGGGAGGGGCGGGCGGGCAGGCGGTGATCGATTGCCCGGCCTTCGCAGCTTCAGTGCCAGGCCCCCCTGAGCTGTGCAGACAGATGGGCAGCATAATTGAGTGTAGCGTTGATAAACTCCGGCCTCCTCACCGGCAGATAAGCGCTGGGTGGAAGGGCTGCAGAGGGAGGGAAGCCAGCGCTCCGTCTGTGCACCTGGCCTCTGCCCCTCCTGGGAGGTGAGCATGGCCCTCACTCCCACCTCTCACTTAATCACAGACAACTAGGACCTCAGAGCGGACGGAGACCTCAGCGGGGGCGCGGGCGGCGTTTATCCAGTCTTCCAGAGCCTGGATTCCAGGCATGACTCATGCAAAGGGGGAGAGGCGAAGGGAGGGTCCTGGGCTTTGCAATCAGTTTGAACCTGGCTCTGCCCCTCGCTGTGTGACCTTGGGCACAGTGGGGCATTCTCTGGGCCTCAAGTGCCCAGGCTGGGACGTGGCTCACAGAATAGCTGTGGGCGTAAGGGAGAGGCCACGCTTCTTAGTCCCTTCATTTGCCCCTGATGTTGCCTCTTATTCCATCTTCGCTTCTCTCTTACTTCTCATCTCTCATCGTTTGTATTCAACGTTTAAAGAATATTATTGGGGTGTAACATTTGTACAGCAGAGTGCACAAATAACACCAATTCCAAGGGCACAGCTGCATGAATGTCTACATTTGTGGATACCAGTATAACTACCACTGAGCTCAAGACAGAAATATTTCCAGCCTTCTAGAAGGTTCCTTTCCAGTCCCATCCCGCCCCCGTCTGGCGTTAGCCACTGTCTTGACTTCTGTCACCATCAACCCGTTTCATCTTTTTTGTTGTTGTTAATCCTCCCTCGCGGATATGTTTTTTCCATTGATTTTTAGAGAGAGTGGAACGGAGGAAGAGAGACAGAGAGAGAAACATTGATGTGGGAGAGACACATCAATTGGTTGCCTCCCTCCTGTGCCCTGACCAGGGCCAGGGATCGAGCCTGCAACCAAGGTACGTCACCTTGACCGGAATCGAACCCAGGACCCTTCAGTCCACAGGCCAGTGCTCTAACCACTGAGCAAAACGGACTAGCGCCAGTTTCATCATTTAAACCCAGATTTCCCTTCCTTTTCCATCACAACTGGGGACATGGTCTTTGGAAACTTTAGGGAGTGCCAGAACTTCAGACTTGAAGTTCACCCAATTCATCCTTGTGTTCCCTGGGGGCTATGGCTTCTCAGGGTCTCATGCTTCATCAGCCTTTTCCAGAAAGGGAGACTGAGTCCTCTTCTTCGCTCGTTCCATAGTTCCCGTATCAAGAAATTGCTCCACGCCTTAGGGCCCTGCTCTGGCTGGATCCTGTGGCCTGGGCCTGTGAGTGCCAGGCTGCCTCGAGGCAGGGAGACAGCAGGATGACCTCCTGGCCCTGTGCACCCCTGTGACTCCCTTCCCCGAAGCCCTGCTGGGTCCTGGCCAGTATCTGGTGCAGCGCTGCTCACCCCCTTTCTGTTCACCCCCCGGTCTTCTCCTTAGGGCTCTGGGGCACTGGGCCGAGGACATGCCCACGAGTGGTCAGGAAGGCGGGGCCCAGCCTCACTTCTAACTGTCCCCAACGCCTCCACCTGCTTGCCTCAGAGGCTCCTCACACTCAATGTGCCCCAATTCCAGCATCTTCTCCATCTTCTCCCACCAAACCTGCTCTTGCTTCTTCAGCCCCATCTCTGTCAGGCAGCACCCCTGCCACGCGTCTCCACGGCTGCAAACCTCTGCCATCTTGACTCGTCTCCCCCCCCCCCATGCTCTTTGGTCTCTCTTCCTCACCCTTACGTGAGCCTCTCATGCCATTCACCCTGTGCTCCCACTAAACCAGACTTGCTACTTCCTTTCACCCCTTGGGCATCTCAGGCCGCCTGAAAAGCAGTTTCAACTACCGAGCTCTTCTTCAGCCATCAAAACCCCTCCTAAATGCCCCCTCCACAGAGGTGCTTTCCCCAATCCCCTCGCGAAGGGTGGTTACCCCTCCCCTCCCCCTCGCAGGCCCAGAGACCCTGGGACAGACCTCCACACAGCACCGTTCTCGCTGTCAGGCTGCAGGTGTTCCGTCCTGGCCAGGCTGCGGGCCCCTCGAGGAAACGATGCTCCGCTATTGATTTCTGTCTCTCCAGAGTGCGGTGCAGGGCAGACCTCCCCTGCAGGGGCGGGGCGTACTCTACTGCCGTGAACTGTGAAGGGCAGCCCATTAGTGGGTCACGAAAACAGTTGAAAGTGGGTCACAATCTGCATTTTAAAAGCAGAAATGAAAATAGAAACATCAGAGTGCATTGTATGTAGCTAGACTAAACATTGCTGAGAAGTCCCCCCTCTATTTTACACACACACATACACACACACGCGCGCACACACACACACACACACACACACACGCGCGCGCGCGCACGGACGCACACACGCGCACACACACACACACACACACACACGCACGGACGCACACACGCGCGCACACTGTACAGGGACATGATAAAAAGGCATGCACGTTTGGCCTTGGGTTGCAGCTATAAAAGCTGGAAAACCATTGTTCCACTGAGCATCTCCCTCTTGGTAAGTGAGTCCCTTCAGCTCTGGTTGACACCACGGCAAGGATGCAGAGAGCGAAGCCCCAGAGGAAGATGCGCCATCCCTGGGCGCCTCCTCCGTGCTGTGCGGGGGTCTCTATGTGCTGGCCGCACCCCGGCAACCTGGGAGGAGGCACTTTTTAGGTCAGAAACCCCAAGCTCGGTGGGCCAGCCCAAGGCCCACATCGAAGTGTGGAGAGCCAGGATTTGGGCCCGGGTGTGTTTCACTGGCAGCCCTTTCTTCTCCTATGATTCTGGTGCCAGAAGCTGGCA